GTTTCGATACAGGTTGAAGAGTTAAGGAATCAACCCAAAAGTAGCTGTTTTGATTTTATTTCTCTCTAGACGAGTAGCCATTTCATCATGTCCAGAGACATTCAAAAAGTAATCATTGATCTTATTGGGGTCACTGAAATAGTCAGGCAAGTATTCATTTTTACTCGGATCTATTAAAATTTTGTTTTTTAAGTTTTTCCAAGACTTAACACTATCTTTTACATTAGAATTAATACAATGATTAAAATAAGCACGTTTTTCATAATAAATACTAGTTTCTATAAAATTTTTAAGATCCCTGTAGTACTGCATATCTGTGTTTGAAAGTTTTCTCTTTACGCGGGCTTCGCTGCGTAACTGCATCATAAATTTAAGCGTGTCAGTGATCCAAGGCAGGGAATTAGGACCTTTCATATGCAGAGTTTTATAGGGAGCGTGCTTATCAAGGAGTTTCAACAACAGTGTATTAAATTTGGTAACTGATTACCAGTCTATGGAGATTAGGTCGCTATTAAAACTGTCTAAATTTATATTCTGCAAGGATCTTTATGTGACAGCTCTGCCAGGTATCTTAGTCTTTTTTAGCGTCAATGTAACATTTGTCAATGAGTGCCCGAGTGATCCGGTGATGTTACTGACCAAGACTTCACGAACCGTACAATTGGTGCATACAACATCAATTAGCGTCTCCGAGATTGCAGTGAAGTGAGTAAGTTCAATACAACTTGTCTCAAATCCACACAAAGCAGAAATTGATCCAACTTCATAGTCTCACCGTCTCTTTGTTGTAGCATATTAACATTAAAATCGCCCATAAGGATTAAATAATTATAGTTGGAAAACCTAGAGACAGAGCCAGTGATGGCGGATATGAATGTATCCACATTCAAACACTGTGGCCTATTCGCAGTAAGTTCCTATCACTAAGGAGTATCCATTAGTTTTAGTAGTCAGCCACGTCTGTTCTATAGAATCATTCGGATTTTTAAGGTAACTTACGCGAACATCATCCTTTACATAAAACCCTACTCCCCCACCACGTCCACCTCGCATATGCTGCGGACGCGGTGCACAGCGTAGTCGACAGCCCGGCGGCGCAGGCGCACACGCCTCCTGCCCAGTCCCCAGCCATGTCTCATTAATAGCAGCTATATCGGCGTCGAAACGATCCATTGCATCAAGAAAACCATCTTGCGCTGTATTGAGGGAGCCTGCATTATATAATCCCAACCCAATGAATATATTTTTAGGAGCCATTGATTACATTTTAAATAGGTAAGCAATAACATGAACTCTGTTACTCATGTGTAAGTAAAATGTATATAAGTAACGTTTGTATAGACTGTAAAATATGTTAACATTAGTAAAGGTTAAATGAGTAACAATATGTTGTGTAAATATATTGCAGATAAAAATTAAAAATATAAATTTTTTCAGTGTTAATAAATGCATGTAAATAAATAAATGTAGATAGATAAATAAATTATAACAAAGAAAATGAGCAGCATTGCACTGATACAGCACACCCCACTACATATACATATAAATGAAATTAAGAATAAGTTTCATTTAAGAAAATTGTACGTTGATTACATAAAAAGCAAAACAAAAGGGTATAAGTAAAAGTGAAATAAAAAAGTATAGGTTGAAATTAAATTTTAAATGATTTTTGAGTATGCCAAAGAAGCGTTATTAGTGTTACAATTTTATACAGATTAATTATATGGTCTGTGAGATTAAGTAATGTAAAAAAATATATAGATTTATTTATTGTCAGTAATCGTTTTAATTCCAAAAACACGGGAAATATCAGCCTCGGTACGAAGGCAATGGCGTGGCGCGTCACTGCCCTGATGCTGATGCGCAAATACCCCGCTGTCGCGTGACCGTACGTAGCGCCAGTTGAGGCGCTCAGCCGCCTCGAGAGCCAGACGGAATACCACCCTGTTGGTGCGGGTCAGCCGGTCGTTGATATAGAATCGGCGCGGACGGCCGGGCAGTCCTGTACCCTCTGTGGTAGCGCCTCGGCAAACGCGAGCCGCTTGCAACATCTGATCCCGCAAATCCGCCACTAATTACATCGATTTTATTGCTAGTTTTATTGAAATCGGTTACCAGAAAGTGAGCGAAGCCTAATTCATTCCCTTGTTTGCCACCCTTAGAGGTGGTATATTTTCTTCAAATTTAAATGGAACCAATACTGAGGTAGATACCCTATTACCCTTTTTCAAACAAAAAAGATTCATCAAAATCAGTTCGCAAATGCCGGAGTAATCGCGCAACATGCGTACAATAAAAAAACAGTTGAATTGAGAACCTCGTCCTTTTTTGAAGTCGGTTAAAAATAGTTTAATTCTAATTGATATTCCGTCTTAACAATTTAGTTTTACGAAGGCAAAGTGTCAGCTTACAATAAATAATTGAATAATTAATTTATATTATCCCAACGTGTAAGTGCTCACTGACTAGTGAGTTTTTATATGAAACCTAATTTGTGAGAGACTGGTGCCTAAAATAGGCATAAAAATGCCTTTATTACAGGTCGCCAGGTTGTTCCACTTCAAAACAAAAATCATTCAACACGTTTGTGGTAGCTCTTATGGTTACCTATGGTGGTCAAGCCTGTAAAGGCCCTGCCCATTTGACCCCCGCACTCCACAGGTAGGTTTTTGCACTAGAGTTAATTACAGTGGAACTCGAGCGAATAATCTCCCCGCTTTTGGGTTCAGGGCTGGTCGTCCGTTAGAACGACAGTTGGTTCAGCTTTTTAGCTGACAATCATTGAATTTGAACTTATAAATCTAAATATAAAATATTAGCAACGTCACGAGCAAAAGAAGCCAACCACTAAGGTAAATAAGTTTCTAGAAAGTTGCTATGACGGTAGTTCATTTTTACTGGATCGGTTTCAACCCTGCTAAGGTGCGCCTTTTTGCAGCCGCCCACGGCGCGGCTAGATTTACTGTAATTGCCGCTTAACGAGGGGTTAGAGATTAACGCGCATTAACGGACGGTCACCTTCGCTTCTGTTTACATTGGATTACAATTTAGCACGGTTTTGATGAAATTTGGATTTAGCTTTGTTTGCCTCTGGCTTTAATTATGTTGCACTCTTTTTACTCGACTGCGGGAGGGTTATGTTTTTCAAGTGTATGTATGTCCATTTCTTTTTCAAGCTGTACAGCCTAAACGGCTTGATGGATTTTGATGGACATATGAGGTGTCGTTAGATTCGTCTTAATTGTGGCAGTGTCATAGGCTATACAATTTAAGCAAAATAGTCAGGGGGAAATTTTTTTTTATCTTTCCAGCTAAATATTGTTGCTAAATTATTTAAAAAAAACCAGCTAAATTATTTAAAAAACAAAAACCCGAGTGGTTTTTGTTTTTTTAAATAATTTTTAGACTTGTTACTTATTAACTACGCTTTAACCATTACTTGAAAGGGGGTGTAATTGGGTTATACTCGTATTCAATCGTTTTCATATATTGTCTGTATAACATCTCTGGTTCTGGTACCTACGTTTATATTCGGAAAAGTGTTATCATACATAATATATTACTATTGAAATACGGTAAGTGTCTCAATATATTTTTTCCTGTTTTTTTTCCTCTCACAGAGTTGTTGGTGAAAAAAATATAAATATGTTGAATATTACAGGATTAAACATAATTTTTTCATAACATAACATATGCACAAAGGAGTTTATCGTATAAATATACGTAACTGCTGAATGCAAAAAACACGCTTCCGTTACCAAGACGTCTCTGAGAAGCGTATTCTCAGAACTATCGCTGTGAAAAAGGATCAAAAAGGAAAACTCTGGCCATTACAAGCAGTATTTTGAGACGGTTTCTTTTTCAGACAAAATTTCATATACAGAAAACTAAATTGCTCGCCGGTGCGCTACATACTGTTTTAGGTTGCAAGTAATTAAAAATGTAAAAAAAAAATACTTTTTTGTTATAACATATGTATAATATAATTTTTGTTATAACTTGATTATTTTTTACTTGAACTACCGTCCTTGAATGATTTAAAAAAATTGTAATGTGTTTCTCTGTGTCCTCAAAGTACATAAATGAGTCACTTGTGATTGTTGGTGAGAATAAATATCTTAAACCGAATAAAAATTTCTTAACAAAGTTTAATCAGTCACAAAATATTTTGATGAGTTTGTTTGTTATGTGGTCACGGCTTTTGTCCTGCAACGACAGTGCGTAAAACACATCGAACCAGAATACATTTTATCACACAATAAACGCTGTCAGTCTTACATTATGAAACTTACCTAACATAGACTCTACGTGCCGTGTTCGCAGACGAAGCCTCTAGATACATTGACACGTCAACCTTGTACAGAAAGGGATCCTTTCATTAGTAGTAAGCACTTCAGGCTTTAAGTTATTTATTTTCTACTAGCTTGGTGCTACAAAGGTCTTGGCAACTCGTCCGCGGTTTGATAGATAGCCTATCGATGAGTAGCGTCGTTGGATGGACGAGTACAGTGAAAGGCCGTGCGAATAAACCCGCGCTTGTAAGTCGGGCGTTAAATGCATTCCGCCTGAGGTGTTATTCAGATTCAAGTTGTCTTGTATCAACAGACTGTAATTATCACCTTCTCGGATAATATTAGCTCAAGTGACCTTGACAGTGACAGACTTGATTTTCAGCTTAAGCCGTAGCTGAAATGTTTAATAAGCGGAAATTTTGACAACTTCCGTGAAATGTACTCTGAAATAATAAAGCCAGTTGATTTACGCGTAATTAATCTTAATATAGATCCTACTACTTGAGACGAATTTATTGATACTGGACTAAGAGTGAAATTTTGTAGTTGGACCAACAAAGTGCGGTAAGAATAATGTAGGTTATAAAAATATTTTTTCGTATTAGTTCGTATGTTCAAACGATGCGCTGACTAAAAGAAAATATAGATAAAAATATGGCATGCGTGTACCTAACATGTTATGTTTAAGAATTCAGGGGTTTAGCTCACCTGCCTGCGCGCGCATTTCCCGAGAGACAATGGCGCCGTGCGTGTTGTGCGCGCGGCAACGGTACACGGCAGCGTGCACGTCCTGCCGGAACTGCGCCGGAGCAAATGGCTTGAATACTAGCGTTCCGTTTTCGAGCACTTGTCTGCAATAAGAAAAAATCCGTCAATCCTATAAATTTGTAATTGGTGAGTGTAGGGCGGTGGCAATCATTAGGCTATTAATTGAGAAGCGCCCGATCTCCCGCTGAGAATCGAAGTCCTGTTGCGGCACGTATTTATTGTATTGAATTTTTCTGTTACATGCATTTCTGAATATCCATAATCTCGTTAAGGCTGTAGGAAGATATCGTGATGACATATGTACGTAGAAGAACGTTCATAACCCTTGGAAAACGCCTGAAGTCTCCAACCCGGGCGGACTAAAGACTAAATGTTCTTTTAAGAAGGCACTGATATTCAACTGTGAGACATGTGATGGTTTGGGCGTAAGCCCAAATCGCACCCAGAGAAGCTGTAACAATGTTTACAAAATCTTTTTTATAACATTTCCCTAAATTACTAAAGTCAAATGAAACAGTGTTCCAGTTTTACGAAACGATCACAGCGAACATAAACAGAAAGTTGTTCGTAATAATACCGACGCTCGGTCGACGTTATTAATTTCATTTTAGTCCGATTAATGGGCAGAGGGTGGCACAGAATTAAACGGGGTGAGAATTTGTTATTCGTATTATAAATATACTGAGTCGCGGCTAATGCGCCCCTCAACTCATGACGCCATTTGTTTAGGCTGCTGCGAAAGGATGTGACCTGCCGAGCTGCCGCTTATAACATGGAATTTTATGCAATTTGTTCGTGTAAATTTCACATATTATGTAAACAACTCTCGTTAGCATTAAAACCTTTAAACTCGTGTAATCGTGTTACGAGGGGTACAAGGCTTAAACGACACAAGAGTTTAAATGAAAATTGTTTAGTTGCGCTAAGTTGATTACTCGTGACTCATAATATAACGTATCACACCCTCAATAATTAAGCGTCGAAGTAAAAAAAAAAACATTTTCTTAATGCTGAAAATAATTGATAGGAAGTTTCAGAATTTTCCAAATTAAAAATGTTTCATATCTGCTCGCGCGCGATGGTTTCGCGAGCTGTCTTGAAACATTAACTCTCGAATGACTGACATAAAACAGTCGGTGAACTTCCACTTTAATATCCTGCAGGAAAAAAGGGAATGGTGGAAATCTCGAAGTAATTGACGGCTGGGACCCAGATCTCCGACTAGCCGGCGGGTGCGGGGAGGTGCCTAACAGGATATAGAACATGTTTAAAGGTGAACACACTCGTGGGTGTTAATACATGTTCAAAGACTTGCCGAAGTTTGCTTTTCATTACAGAGAATAAATATAGGCACTCCATTTTTATTTTAAAAATAATGAAAATACGTTGCTTTCTAAACAAAAAAAGTTAAACTGTGACAAATATTTTCATTATGATATACGGTCTACTGGTATGTCATATTTCTAACCCGAAAATGCTTTTTCATGTCTTATCGCTCAAATATTTGTACGACATCGAACATCGATATGTCCCTCTGCGAGCCAACCTCTGGACTAGTGAATAATAAACGATGCCGCATCTCTGCGCTACAAAGCCATCGCCGAGCCCTTTATAATTCGCTCCGGTAATTTTTGTGCTAAGCGAGACGCTGTATAAAATATCGGTCCGGGTAAATGGTAAAGCTAGTTTCCTTTCTGACGACTATTCCGGGTCAATTTGCACCGTCCATCCTCAACCCCTCCGCGCTCCACCTCTCCGGCCGCATAACATTGCATGTGTACAAACGCATTTTTCGACTTAATTAACATCAATCGCATTTCTTTCTCTGTCTTTAAACATTACATAAAATTGTGTTATTATTTTACTAACATCCATCCCTTCGACATGACCAAACTATGTAAACAATCCCTTTTCTAGCCTAGTCATTACGCGAAGGCTGACGCGGGGAGGGTCGTAGACTTGAGGCACTTATGTCAACCATATTGAAAACGTCTTTAAAAAAAGGGTGAACCAAAGTACTAGGAATAAAAGGGCGTCTATGAAAAGACTAGTGCATGGGAAGGAAGCGAAAGGGGTATGTTAAGAGCATTGAGAATGGAGGCCAATAGTCTCTTCCTACACAATAGAAAACAGGCATTATTGTATTAATTTAAGAAACATTTCAATTGTAATACTGCTAAATTATCAATTTGAAAACCATAAAACCGACTCCTTATTACTAAACATTGTAATTTTAATATGCGAGAATACAAAATGAATAGCGTCGCAACTGAATGTATTTTCAATACGTTATTGAGTATCTTTTAGGTTTAGGTATTATACCAAGTCGATAATCGATATCCTCAGAGTGAATTCCTTTGCTCTGGTAAGAGCACCAGTATTATGAGTAATATAAGGAATTTCTCAGTCTGTCATTCCAGAATACTTACGAAACTACTGCTATTCCTGACATTTGGTGTGTAAAAACTCACATTTCACTAACACTGAGTCAAAATGATATATTATTTTCGTTTATTAATTCGTTTTCTCACCAAAACCGACAACTTAAGTCTTAGTGTTAAAAATGTGCGCCTGGTGGTAATCGACACACCTGTCTATAGCTTGTGTGTAGTGCCCCTCAGAGCTATAAATCGCACAGATTTGAGGGGCACTGCTGCTGCGCCCGTCACTCTGAGACATAGCAAAAACGACATCAAACTCTTTGCTCATCCATTGTACGAATCACTTTCAAAACCATACTCAAATAAACGTATAGTTTAGTTTATAAGCTACAAACTCCGGTGGTAGACCTTGGTCGTGGCTGGTGACCACCCTCTGGGCGAAGCCTAGCCGCCAAACAGCTATAGCTGTGTTCCGGCTTGACGCCCAGAGTAGCCGCTCTAGAGTGAAGGGTCTGTACAGTTGCACTGCACTGATTTGGTTGATCTCGGGGCTCCCTTGTTGTTGCGCTGGGAACCTGGACGCGGAGGGTAGCGGGATCCGAAGCACGGTGCTCCGCTGGCCGACCGCAGGTAGTAGGGGGCCCAATTAGCTGATTAGCCTCCAGTGAAAGGCTGCCCCGCCAACTCGCGAAAAATCCCGGGGTGCTCCATCGTGCCGGTTGGCGACCGGATGAAAGGACCCGATGGCCACTCCCGGGGGGGTTCGGGCGTCCCCGCGCGCTCCAGTCTAGTTTCCCATCGGCGTACCATATAGGGTATGTGCCGCATGACTTTCAGTAGTAGTGTCTCGTACAACTGCCTTCGCTCTCCCCATTCACTCTAACCCTAATATGAAAAGGTCAAGAAAATTGAGGAAGGCTAAACAGCGGATGCACGTCCTTTCACTTAAAGTGCACCTCTCGAACATCCGAGGTCTGCACTCCTATCTCTCATCTGTCCACCACCATCTTGAGACTGAAAGGCCTCACATGCTCTTCCTCACGGAGACCCAAATTAGATGTCCTTCGGACACGGCGTATCTGCATTACCCAGGTTACATTCTGGAGCACAAATTTAAGCAGCGCGCTGGTACCTGCGTTTACGCTCGTGATGACATCTGCTCTAAACGTCTCCGTGATCTTGAAGACCCCGATCTCTCTGTAATGTGGGTTCTGGTAGACACTGGACTGGAACAAATTGTCTACGCCAGTGTGTATCGGTCGCATTCTGGAGACCCGGAGACGACTGTACAACCATCTCTGCAGCTCGGCGGAAACAGTCCAACAACGGTATCCTAAAGCACAACTTGTCTTTTTGGGGGACTTTAATGCCCATCACCAGGAATGGTTGTTCCCATACCAAAAAACCGACCACGCTGGAAGAGAGGCGCGGGCATGTGCTCTATCACTAGACCTCACCCAGCTGGTGAGTTGCGCTACCAGGGTACCGGACGTTGACGACCATACTGCCAATTGCCTGGATCTTCTGCTGACAACCGATCCAGACCGCTACCAAGTATCGGTCTCATCCCCACTAGGGACATCAGATCACTGTCTGGTGAAATCTGTATCTGTCTACTCCCCGCCCGATCTCAGTACGGGAAGTACTAGGAGGATGTGGCGATACAAGTCAGCTGATTGGGATGCGATGCGGCATTTCTTTGCATCTTATCCCTGGCGGCAGCTGTGCTTCTCTTCTGACGATCCGACGTGCTGCGCGTCTGCCGTATCTGAGGTGATTATTCGGGCTATGGAATACTTTATTCCGTATTTCGAAGTCTCCTCCAGCGGCAAAGCTCGCCCTTGGTTTAACGCTGAGTGTGCTTCTGCGGAAACGCTAAAGCAATCTGCGTACCAGGCTTGGGCTGCTGCTCTAGATCGCAAAGCACCGGAAACCCTACGTCTGAAGAAAGCCTTTAATAAAGCCGCTAGATCCTGCAAAAAAGCGATACGGAAAGCTCGCTTCGGCCATATTAGTCGTATTGGGGTCAGGTTAGCTTCATACCCATCAGGGAGTAAAGCATTCTGGTCACTCGCTAAATCGGTCGAAGCGAATTTCTGCAGGTCATCCCTTCCGCCTTTAATGAGAGATGACGGATCGCTGGCTCATACCGCTGAAGAGAAAGCAAATCTTTTTGTTTCTCTTTTTGCTTCCAACTCCCGTCTTGACGCTACTTTGCAAACACCACCTACACTACCTCGATGTGACTCGGAAATGCCCGAAATCACTATCCGTCAAAAAGAGGTGTTGAAAGCTTTACGCAAATTAGACGTCAACAAAGCCAGTGGCCCTGACGGAGTCCCAGCGATTGTCCTGCGGAACTGTGCACCCGAGTTGTCTCCGGTGTTGACTCGCCTGTATCGCCTCTCTATGAGTTCTGGACAAGTCCCGAAATCCTGGAAGCTTGCAAATGTACAGCCTGTACCTAAGAAAGGTAGTCATGCCGACCCATCTAATTATCGACCTATCGCAATCACCTCCATACTCTGTAAGACTATGGAGCGCGTATTGAACAGCTGTCTCCTTGGATACCTCGAAGATAACGATCTCCTCAGTGATCGACAATATGGTTTTCGCCGTGGACGATCTACTGGGGATCTTCTTGCGTACGCTACACATTTATGGAGCGAGGTTGTCGAGAAACGCGGTGAATCGCTTGTCGT